TGAAAATAGGGTATTTTAAGAAATTTTTGTATGGGTGTATTTGAATTTTGGGTAAAGTTTTAAGCGGTGTGACAATTTTTTCCTTTTTTATAAATAAATAAAAAATATAAAAATGGTAAAATATACCAAACAGCATCTTTTAAACAATGAATATGTTCAAAAAGTTTCTGAAGATGGTGCTAATGTTACATGTATTTGTGGTAATAAAATAAAATTAAAGCACCCTTATGATGAAGATTATATAAATCGGCATGTAGAAAGTGGTGGGTGTAAAAGAAAGAAAAACACCCAAGAAATTACTAAATTAATACACAAAACCAGTCATCAGTATAATTTTTTTCATGCATTGGTCTTTGTGGTGATAAGTATAAAGCATATATTGAACATACACAACTTACTGCAACTCATGGTGGTGCACCTCTGTGTCATGAAATAGCATGCCAACTATTTCCTTTGGTTTTTCCTATAGGTTTAAAAATAAAATATTCAAAATTAAAATCTGATCAACTAGAATGTCTTGAGCAAGAACTTGTTAATCAATCAAAATGGTGAATTCAAGGTCTGTCGATTCAAAGTACAAATGTAAAAAGGACACTCCATGCACTTCTAAAATTTGTATTGAATGTCAAAATCTCAAAAATGATCAAGTTTTTAAGCTATTATATTTATAATTTAGTAAATTTATTATATAATTATATACTAAGGGATACTTTCATTATTATTTGTTAGAATGCACTAAATAAAAAACATAGATACAAAAATTACAAGTTTATCTCTAAAATTAGCTTGCATAGTAGCCCAATATCAAGATATATAACTAATAGTGATGTTATGCAGCTTATAAAACAAATCAATAATATATAATCTAGAAGCTGAAGAATCTTTTTGGTTAAAGCTTGCTGAACTGGGTGAAAAAAGATCATTTAAAAAACAGTCTACATTTGGAGGTTTATGTGAAGCATGCAAAATTTGTATTATTCCAAAAAATATTTGCCATTTTATCATCTTTAAGTACTTGTGCATATAATGCTTTTCAAAAAAATCTAGCTGGACATGAAATTCAAAATATTAGATAAATTAAATTTAAGCATTTATTATTTATTGTTATTCTCTATTTCCAATAACTATTAGTGGTTTTGGTATTTCTGTCATAAAAAAACATGACATGTATTATTCAAGTAGTGCCTATTATAAAAATGGTAATTATCATTCTTTTGTAGAATCTCATTGTGAAATTGATTCAATATCCTATATTTCATGTTGAGTTTTTTTACCTCTTCAATTTGACCTTTTTCTTGTTTTTCTTCTGATGTTTTCACTATCATGTGTCATTTACCTCCTTTTTCATTATTACATTATTTGGGTTATGGTGATTTTGCATTTCATGATAAGCCACATGGTTATTAACATTAAATGGGTTAGCTTTAGAGCAATTTCAATTTTTTAATCAAAGATAAATTGAAAATAATTCTGGGAAAAAATAATTATATTTTAAATTTAGTGGAAAGAAAAATTACTGTTTTTTTCACATATGGTATATTTGAATTTTGGGTATTTTTCATATTTTTTGGGGATGGTATATTTAAATCTGGGTATAATTTTCTAAAAAAAGTGGGTAGAGAAAAGGTGATTTACTATTAAATCTCAAATGTACCATCTATTAGGATTGTTTGAGGTCCTTTTCCACCAATAAACAATTAATTACAATTTTGGTGCTTTTTTTAGAATAAAATGAATTTCTTCCATAGAATTGGAATGTTGATATTGTGCCATTGTTTATTAACTAGAATGCAAGAATAAAGTGTGTTATAGTCATTAGCATCAACACATTTAAGTGCTTCAATTAATAGTTCAAGTGGCAAAGGTGGTGAAACCATCCTTTTTTTTTAATTGGTAGTTGGTTCACGTCATCTAAAGATATATATTAAAATTGATGATCTTTGACTCCACAAAATTTTATGATAATAATAATGAAAAGCTAAAGACCTAAGCTTCATTTCTATCAGTTTACTTTTTTCATTATCATAAATTTATCAAGTCTCAAAGTTGGGGCTTTTTATATTAATATATTACTATATTTAAATTTTAAATTTTCGGACTCTCTTTTTATTGGCCAATTTACTTTTAATCATTCGTCGGTAAAATCATGTGATAATATTTTTGGAAACGTATCAACTTATAAAAATCAAGGAAGAACTTCTAATGGTTTGTTTGGTAGGAAATATGTACAAAATTGACACTGGAGTTGCTGAATAGAATAAAAATTTATAATGAATATGTACCTTTAAATTTGAACAATATTTTCTTTTTAGAAAATGAATTTGACAAGATATATTTTTTTGAAAGTGAGATATTTATAAAATAAAATAAAAATTTCTTTATTAGTATTGTTTTAATTAGGAGCAGATTAATAAATTTGGGGTCATTTTTTGTGTGATGGTCTTTTCAACTTCATGCACAATTCTTCGCCATCCTCCTCCTTATAGATCTGGTGATTTCATTAAATATTCTTTTTTTGATTTTTATTTGAAGGAGTTCTATCATCAGAACATTAAAATGGATGTAATTATGTATTATACAAGTGATTTTTTGTATAAATTTTTACATGTGTATTAATATTAACTTAAACTATAATAGCTCTCATTTTTGATAATATTTACTTTTTGTTCTTTTAAATATTCTTTTTTTTCTTTTGTTATATGTCTATCCATTTTTTTTTAAAGAACATAACTGTCGTAATAACACTTATTCATTGTGTATTAATTTCTTCATGCAGATTGTTGTTGTTTTTCTTTTATTAACTTTTTTTTTTATATCTATCCATTTTTTTTTTAAAGAAATTAATTAACTAGAGTTTGAACTAAGCGAAGTAACAACAATAACAGTTATAATAACACTTATGCATCGTGTATTAATTCTTTATAGCAAATTGTTGTTGGTTTTCTTTTATTAACTTTTGTTCCGTATTTTAAGAAGCACAGCAATAATGTTGTATATACAAAAAAAGATTTTTTTTGGAACATGAGATGATAGGAGTATTATTTGGTACGGTTCTGTAGAAGATATGCTATTTGTTAATAATAGCTAGAGATTTATATTGTTTTTGTATTAATTAACTTTTTTTTTATTAATAAAATAGTCGATTATCATGGAGAAAAAGTTGACATGTCTTTACATTACATAGTGATGGGCAATTATTATAATATTCCTTATTGTGATAATAAGTAAGCGATTGATGTATTCGTTTTTTGTGATCATTATAATTACATGAAGTGTCAAGTGTAAAAAAAAACAACATGACTATTGAAGATCTCTCTCACATGAAAAACTGCCCTTGGATGACCTGCAAACACCAAAAAACGATCCGGTATGCAACATTTTTATTACGGATATTCAAGCTCGAATATTTTTTAAAAACACGTCTTCCTAGTGTAAATTGGGCCAATATGACCAATGTCTTCCCTAAGGACATAATGATGCAAATAAATTTCAGGGAGGCGGTTTGACCCTGGAGTTTATTAATTGTATTATTGCCGCTTGTACAAAATCTCCCAACTTGTTTAATTGTCTCTTTCTGTGGAAAAATTTTTATAGATTCGAGGCGTGCAATTGCACAACGATTGCTTGTTTGTGAAAGGCAAATCTGACACCTATGATCAGGGTTGATTCTGGACATGGGTATTACCCTAAATATGACAATAATCTACATGTAATATTAAACGTAGTATCATCTACATCTTCACAAACAACCACAACCTTTTTCACTCGAGCAACTCCAACTACACCATCTCTATCAACCACCCACAACCGAATTCATCACCAACTCAACCACCATCATCTGATTTACCATTATCAGGAACACCATGTCATAATACACCTTGGATAATGTCCAATGATAACCTTGCCTATGATCAATATCAGGTTTGTTCGTTTTATTTTTATTTTTGGAAACATTTTTAAGGAACTAGTTTATGCAATTGGGAAACGCGCACACACAAGGAAGTAGAGTTTGACCACTAAAATTTCTCATCAGGACATATGTGGCTTTTTTTTTTTGGTTTTTTAAACAAAGGATTTTCAGTTTGATTTTTTTTACCTGAGATTGAATGATTATTTACCTTGTTTTGATGCCAATCAAATAAAGAAAGATTGTCTAAACCTAATTTTTTTGGTTAAGAATTATGCAACATGACAATCATTAATTTAATTACGCTTTTATAGACAAAAGTACTCACTCGTACTCATTATTATTAAATTTGAAAGAAAGACTTTTTTTATATAGTAAAATTTCCTACTATATTACTGTTTATATCACAATTTAAGAAAGACTTTACAGGTAGATGTGAAATATGGCGTTTTTATCAATCGGAAGATTGACATCTTATTCATTTTAATTAAATATTTCATTTATGTATATAATAATAATAATAACCATTGATTATTCAAGTTATTTATTTTATTTTATATAAATATAGCGGATGGATATGCATAGGTGTCCAGGATTGTGCTTCACATATCATTTCCTATCATCCATCAAATAGAACATTTACGAAATTTTTTAACTAAATAGAAGTGGCGTATTAAAAAAAAAGCAATGTGGATTATTAAAATTTTTGTTCCCGTGATTAACGTCACACATTCTATAAAAAGTTCGATTTTCTGTAATATTTTCTAATTTTGGTAAAAGCATAAAATTTCGCCTTTTACAACCAATGAAATCGAACTTCCATCATACTTATTGATCTGCGAAATCAGATAGTTTTAGTAATTGTCGCAGTATTTTATTTGGAAAAAACTTATTCAGAAAAAAAATATATTCACACACTCACTCTTTCATACAACATACATATATGCATACATACATATCAATATCTCTCTTTATATTTTTATTCTCTTTCAAAAAAATAATAAATTAATGAAAAAAATTTTTTTTAAACATTTCAAATATAATAAATATAAACAGCCTCATAATATATATAATAAATAATAGGGGGGGAAAAATGCCATATTCAACTAATTCAATATCAACAACAACAACAATTTCATCGTACGGCTCATCCCAACAATCTTCGCGTAATTTAGGAAATTTTACACCTTTATGGAGGAACTATTTAAGTGATGAAAATAAAGAAGAGTCACAAGAAATAAAAACGTTGAATTTAGGTGATTTCGGTAGTCTATGGAGTTACTTAAGCATTGAAAAAGAAAAATGGAGTAGTCCCTCTCTTCCTTCTAAAAAAAAATTTGCTCAGGACTATTCAAAAATTGAAGTTGATGTTAAAACTAATCAACTATTAACCAACCATGATGCACTCCAGCAACCATTACCACTACTTAACAACTCTTCTTCGTCTGAATATTCTACTGAAGAAGAAATTACTAAAAATAAAAATAATGAATTTGGAGAACATAAAATAATATTGCTACCACAAATTAATCATCGTCCACAACAACAACAATCTATAAAGTCTTCAAATAACGAGAAGGCAAAAATTAATATCAGTGTTTATGATGATGATAATGATGATGATGATGATGATGTTAGCAGTAGCAAAGCTGGTTGGACGAAGAAAAGCGTTAGAAATGCTAAAAAAGCAGCAAAAAAACGACAAAAAAGACAATTAAAACAACAAGAAAAACAAAAAAAGCAACAACAGCAACGACAACAACAAAATGTAAATATCATTATCATCATAAAATCATTGTTAATTATAATAATATTAACATTAACATTAACACTTAATTTTATTAATTTTGCCATTAATATGGTTAATTAGATTGCTAACACTTATGGTGTGAAAAATGGTCATTTTAATGAAACGGTTTCGGTTAATAATTTGTTAAATTATGAGACATATAGAGAAACATCATCATCATCATCAATGTTGATAATGAATGAAGATCAAAATATTCTAGATGAATTATTATTATTGGAAAAAGAAAAGGTCAAAACATATCCATTAAAAATTCCAATACCTACTCAAATATCGAATGAACAAATTCATGTTTTTATTGATAATTCTAATATTCTTGTTGGATTCCTTGCAACTTGTAAGTTACAAAAACACGCACATAAACTTAACCTTAATAATTATGAAAAAAGAAAATCAATGTTATCATATACAGCTCTTTTTACTATTCTTGAACGTGGAAGAAATGTTGCTCGTAAAGTTTTAGTAGCATCTTCGCCATTATATCAAAATCTTGATGAGGCAAGAGATGCAGGATACGATGTTTCGGTACTTCAACGTGTCAAGAAAAATGAATCAGATGATTTTATCATCACTACTACAAGCAATACTATTACCAATACTAATAATATTCAAGAATTTCTTCATGAAGCAGAAAAGGAACAATGTGTTGATGAACTTCTTCAACTTAAAATATTCGATTCATTGCTTGATTATCATACACCCGCAACTTTAGTACTTGCAAGTGGAGATGGTAAAGATGGTGAATATTTTCAAGGTGGATTCCACAAATGTGTCATTAAAGCATTGGAAAGAGGTTGGAAAGTTGAGATCATAAGTTGGAAACGTCAACTTAGTCAAAATTTTTTGAACAAGAGATTCTTAAATAGATGGAAAGGACGATATCATGTTGTTTTTTTGGATTGGTTTTCCAAGGAATTGGGATGCGAATATTAATTAAGAAAGATGATTTAAATTCCTTTCTTTTTGTAAAAAAATATTATACATATATTAATTAGATTAGAATAAGAAAACATTTATATATAATTTATTATTAACCAATTAATTAATATTCTAATATTATCTGCCTGCAGTTTTGAGTTTTTTTTTCCTTAGAGAAAAAATAATTTTTTATTTTCAAAATTTATAAAATTTATATATAATAATAATATACCTTTGTATATTTTGTATATATAAATAAAATTTTCGGCATTATTGTTTGATATATATATATATATATTTTATTTTTTTTTTTGTAAATATATATATAATAGTTTTTTTTTGTAAATATATATACACACATATATATTCCTCTTCAATTACTCTTATTTTATTTTTCTTAATAAAAAATTATTATTGTAAAGAATGTTTTTATTTGGTGCCAAAATATACTAATATGGCATAGTGAATTTTTATAAAAATTTCTTTTTAATATTGTTTGCAATTCTCACATTTAAAAAAGGTAATCCAATGTGAATAAAATCTCAAGGAAGCTACAAGGTACGTAACGAACTATGACTGATATGTATGTGTAAAACTGACCATGGGTCATCCTCCTTCCCATGGTTTCAACAGATTAAAGTACTACAAGTCTAGTAATTGAAATGCTTGATGTCATGAAAATCAACAATCCCGACATTTATTATACAATGTGACAGAAATAATATTTTTCAAGGGCAAGACAGTAATCTACTAAAAAATCGTCCGCATTGGATGAAATTAGTATAAGGGTTTTAACATATGACATAAAAATTGCTTTACCTACCTTATTTGGATAAAAATCTTTTCAATTTCAAAAAAAAACTTTACCAAAATCGTATGTTATTATTATATGCATACTGCAACAAGGCCAGACAAAGTGAACATTATTGTCAGAGCTCAAATATACACTCAATTAAAGAGACTTTCGTTGAAAATATACACTTGCTGTGTTGATCCTAAAATTGATCTGTTTAGTTTGCACAATGAAAAGTCTTTTTTTATTATTTACATTATAATACTAAATCTAATACAGTCGGCGCTTGATATAGTGAAGTTTTGGCTAGTACAAATTTGGAAACTATCTTCAGAAAAATTGTATTTTATTGGATATTAACGCAGATAGTTTTTAAATTTGTACTAGCCAAAACTTCACTATATCGAGCGCTGACTATAAACTTCTATTAAATTTTTGCAAACAGCATAAACTATTTAAAAGCCTATTACTTTATATTTAATTGGTGAGAAACTGAAAGTTTTTGTATGTTGACTTTCTTGATGGTGTAAAGTATTTGGTGTGCACTATAGATGGGCGTTTAGACAAAAATGTCTAAATGTCTAAATTAATATAAATAGTAATGATTTGCTTTAAATACAACTAAAAGTCACGTGGACATTCACAAAATCCACAAAATTCAGTAAATTATCCAATAAAAAATTCAATTTAAGCATTTTAGACAATTGAGACCATGATTGTCTAAATGTCTAAATTAATTTATATTTTAGACATTTTCCAAATAATTTAGTTTAGACACCCATCTATAGTGTGCACTTTATAATTTTCAGCTGAAAGCTTCACTTGTTCTTTCAAATACAAAGGTGTTGTGCAAAAAAATATATCATAAATTAACAAATGATAAAAATGTGACACATTGCATACCTTTAATGCAATCAAGTGTGTCAACATAGATACTAAAAGTAGAACAGATGGTCTGTATATTACAATTTTTGTTTTCATGAAAGGCCATCATGTCCTGTAAATGCCATTATATTTGAGGTCTATTATGAAAAATTCTATTGTATCTCCCAAATTTTCAAATGAACAACTCAATTAATTAGTATAAAAAGTATACAAACAAACAAATAGTTTCATGATAAGATATATTACATATATTAATAACCATCTCTTTGATTGATCAAGTTTTCTTTGCCCTTTGCTTCTTTGAAGCCTCATAAAATCTATTGGCTTCTGAACTCAATATTGGATCTATGTGACATACAAAATCAGGTCTTTTACTAGTTCCATTAACACTTATATTCAACTTTAAACTGTAACTTTTAAATCGTATCCACAGAATATAGGTTCAAACAGGATTCAGATGAAAAAATCATTGTTGATCTTCTGATAATCTTGTTGGAGCAATGACATGAAGATCATCATATCTATGGACACTCATTTTGTGCAACAGTCATTTGTATAATATGCAGGTGGTTACACAGAGCCCATTGCTTCTGAAACTTCACTAGAATATAGCTGTAGCCTCTCTAAGTACAGATCATCAGCAAGATCAAAATTATCTCACACTTTTATAATCAAACTTTTGCAAGAACTTTCACCATAACATATGT